AAAGAAAGAAAGAAAGAAAGAAAGAAAGAAAGAAAGAAAGAAAGAAAGAAAGAAAGAAAGACGACTCAATTCATGCCTTTACAGGACAATAAACTTCTAGAGAACAAGTGTTGACCTAGATGATTTATCAAGGAGATGATGTTGGGGTGATCCACAAATATTGTATTATCTAGCTATGAAAAAAGTGTTCTTAGTTATTATTTGAAGCCAGCAATACCCGGCTATGAGGATATGTCAATGTCACTTCCTCTCCTGCCTTTAAAAGTAAGGAGAGCTGCATTAGGGGTGACCTTCAGTCCTGATACAACTTGATGAGCTGGAGACGATGGGAAAGGTAGCTCCTTTTTACTGAGGAAAAGGAAAGTGGGGAGAGAGGAGAAAGGGGAGGAGAAAAGAGGCCACAAGGCTGTAAAAGTGAATAAAATAAATACATGATTAAAAAAAAAAGTGTTCTTTCTGAAGACATTTTCTGAATGACTAAAAGTTGTTTTCTGAAACCAACATTTTCTGAATGACTGTATTTGTTTTGATCTGAGGTCAAAAAACTATTTCATATACATTAGCCCCATGAAAATGCCTGAGAAACATTTATGACTTGCAAGTGAAAGAGTGAAAAAGTAGAGAAAAGGAGCAAAGGTGAGGAGAGAGGCAGAGAGACAAAAAGGAGAATAAGGGCAAATGCAGGGGGAAATGGGAAAGGAGATTCTAGCTGAAGAACAAGAAAAACTCTAAAGGTAGAGAGGGGAAAGGAGAAGAAGGGTTTTATCCTCTAGTGTAAATTCAAGTCAAAGCATTCAGACTACTTTTTCCTTAAAGGAAACTCACCATTACAGTTGCCATTGGACAGGGAATTGAGCAAGGTGTTCTGTTCACACTGAAATAAAAATAAATGTAAAAAATAAAAATGTTGTGGAACAATATAGCTGCCAAGGAAGAAATCCCACATTCCTTTCTCCATGGTGAATAACAACAATTAGTCCCATCAAACGTTTTTCTTGAGGAGGCTTGTTTCAGATGCTGTATGCAGCGAACTAGGAAATGAAGAAACCATTATGGGCTGAAAGCAAGTCTGCATTAGTTCAGAAGATACTTTCCTCACTGCATCCGATGTCACAACATTTTCTGGATGATTAAATTTGTTTTGGTCTGAGGTTAAAAAGTATTTCATATACATTAGACCCATGAAAATGCCTGGATGTCAGAAAGTGAAAAGAATGAGGTTATGTACCATATAGTTCAGCTTCTTCAACAGTGATGCCTTGGAGATGGCATGCTCTCTGTTTATCAAAAAATGTACTTAGCTTCTCCTTGGCGGTGATGATGGCAATGGATATTTTTCGCTGTTTACTCTATACCCATGTCTTGATGACATCAATAATTGAATCCTCAGAAGTGTTATGTGAAGTTACTAATCTTTTGCTCAGTGATGAGAGAGTCAAAGAATAGAAAAGCTAAAAATCAAACCCAATGTCTTTCTAAGTTTCTACTCCCAGTCACTGGATGGCTTCTCTTGTGGATCTTTAAAACCGAATGGGGAGCCATTTCTCTAAGTGTTGCCCAGTGTACAGATTACATATCTCCATCAGATTTCTAGCACATTTCCAAGATTCAACCCTTCTTTTATAGAGTATTCAGATAATGAGACTTACACTGAATGGCTGCACCATAGGGACTGACCTTCAGCAGATACAATTTTCCTTTCTTTCTCTTACTTTCTCTGAAATCTCCTATGCAGAAGTATTTTCAATAAATAATCTAGGTATTCTACTTTCAGGAGGCGAATTGTAACTTCTCCAATTCCTTATATATTTGGGCTGAACACAGTGACTTCCTTTCACAGTATAGCATAGAAAGTTTTTTAAAAAAATAGATGAGCTTTAGACAGGAATCACATCGCTACATTATTTAGGGAATCATTATTACCATCAATAATAATCAGTCTGGTTTATAATATTTACCTTGGTTGGGATGTGGGTTCTGCCCCTACAGTGTTCTCTCCCCAAGATCATAAACCTTGTCTTATCATGCAAAACACCAAATGAATTTTAAAACAGGGGCATTCTACAAAAATACCTGGCCAGTCCTGCTCAAAACTATCAAACACCTTTAAAGCCAGAAAATTTGGAAATTATAGTAGACAGGAGAAGCATAAAGAAACATGACAATTAAATGTAATGTGACACATTATAATGTTAGAATCCTGAAACCCTACAAAAAAAAGATATTAGGCAAAATTAAGAAGACAAAATGAAACATGAATTTGTTAGCTGTATATGGAATGCAATGCATTAACATAACAAAGTTCCAAAGAACCTATTGTATCTTAGTTTTTCTTTTTTTTAATATTTTTTTATTAATTACAATTTATTCACTTTGTATCCCAGCTGTAGCTCCCTCCCTCATTTCCTCTCAATTCTACCCTCCTTTCCTTTTCTCCTCCAATGCCCCTCTCCAAATCCTCTGAGAGGGGAGGTCCTCCTCCCCTTCCCTCTGACCCTAGCCTATCAGGTCTCATCAGGACTGGTTGCATTGTCTTCCTCTGTGGCCTGAAAAGGCTGATCTCCGCTCAAGGGGAGGTGATCAAAGAGCCAGCCACTGAGTTCATGTCAGAGACAGTCCCTGTTCCCATTACTAGAGAACCCACTTGGTTACTGAGCTGTTATGGGCTACATCTGTGCAGAGGTTCTAGGTTATCTCCATGTATGGTCCTTGGTTGGACTATCAGTCTCAGAAAAGTCTCCTGTGCCTAGATTTTTTTGGTTCTGTTGCTCTACTTGTGGAGCTCCTGTCCCCTCCAGGTCTTTCTATCTCCCCCTTTTTTCATAAGATTCCCTGCACTCTGCCCGAAATCTGGCTATGAGTCTCAGCATCTATTTTGATACCCTGCTGGGTAGAGTCTTTCAGTGGCCCTCTGCAGTAGGCTTCTGTCCTGCTCCCTGTTTTCTCCGTCTTCTGATGTCTATCCTGTTTGCCTTTCTGAGTGAGAGTTGATCATCGTACCCAGGGTCCTCCTTCTTGCTTAGCTTCTTTAGGTGTACACATTTTAGTATGTTTATCCTACATTATATGTCTAACATCCACTCACAAGTGAGTATATACCATGTGTGTCTTTCTGCTTCTGGGACACCTCCCTCAGGATGATGTTTTCCACCATTTGCCTGCAAATTTCATCATTTCCTTGTTTTTAATTGCTGAGTAGTATTCCATTGTGTAAATGTACCACAATTTCTCTATCCATTCCTCAACTGAGGGATATCTGGGTTGTTTCCAGATTCTGGCAATTATGAATAAAGTGGCTATGAACATGGTTGAGCAAATGTCCTTGTTGAGCAATTGAGCATCTTTTGGAAATATACCTAGGAGTGCTATACTGGATCTTGAGGAAGCACTACTTCTAATCATCCGAGAAAGTGCCAGATTGATTTCCAAAGTGGTTGTACAAGTTTATATTCCCACCAGCAATGGAGGAGGGTTCCCCTTTCTCCACATGCCCTCCAGCATGTACTGTCACTGAGTTTTTTTCTTAGGCATTCTAATCGGTGTAAGGTGAAATCTCACGGTCATTTGCATTTGCATTTCCCTGATGACCAAGGTCATTGAGCATTTCTAAAGTATTTCTCTGCCATTCAGTATTCCTCTATTGAGAATTCTCTATTTAGCTCTGTGCTCCATTTTTTGATTGGATTGCTTGATTTGTTCCTGTTTAACTTCTTGAGTTCTTTATATATTCTGGATATTAGCCCTCTGTCAGATATAGGGTTGGTGACGATCCTTTCCCCAGTCTGTCAGCTGTCATTTTGTTCTGATAACATTGTCCTTGATTCCCTGCACTCTGACCAAAGTTTGGCTATGAGTCTCAGCTTCTGCTTCAATACGTGAATCAGTAGTCTTTCAGAGGCAGTCTATGGTAGGCTCCTGTCCTGTTCCCTGTCTTTTCCTGCTTCCGATGTCTATCATGTTTGTCCGTCTGAATGAGGATTAAGCATCTTCCCTCAGGTCTTCCATGTTGTTTAGCTTCTTTAGGCGTATAGATTTTGGTATGTTTATGTGATATTATGTGACTAATATCCACTTATGAGTGCGCATATACCGCGTGTGTTTCTGCTTCTAGGTAGAGTGCAGGGAAGCTTACAGAAGCTCCAAAAGGAGACTAACAGAGCCATAAAAACTGAGCCCTGGGGGCCCTGGAGAGAATGCATATTTTAACTCTTTGAATCATCTCTATTACAAATGAGAAACCTCACACGTGGGCTCATCTAAATTCCCACAGCTGGTGAGTGGCAGACACAGGCAGCTTGGCTCCGAAGCCCAGGCTCTGGACATTTTAGAGGACTTGAGGGCTCCAGGGCAAATTACACATTCACATTGACTCATTCTGGTGCACATTTGATGAATCAAACTTGTGTCTCTGATCACTGAGAGTTCATACCAAAAAAAAAAAAAAAAAAAAAAAAAAGCTAGATGTGAGTGAGGTGATGGCGCAGCCCTATATTCCAAGCACTTGTGAGAATAGGGGTGAAAGGTCATAGATGGCACAGGGAGACTCTGTCTCGATTTAAAAAAAAATAAAGGAGAAGTAAGGAATGGCAAAGAAGAGAAGGAGGGAGGGAGAGAGGAGCGATTTCTTAATACTGTTCTGGTGGTAATAGTAGTAATTTATGGCTTCTCTGAAGTCGTTTCCCATATTTCATATCCTGAAGAACTAGATTTTCACGTGTTTATTTTAGGACCGTGGTAAACAAATTTCTTAAAAATATTAAATATTGTCTTAGTCTCAGGTTGTATTTTAGATGAATAGCCATACACACAATATTAGGGTTTTTCCTGAGGAGCAGGTCTATAAACACAGCTACACTCTATCGCTGTTCTCCTGAGAGTATGTTTTTACCTTTAGCATTACACACATCTTGAGCCTGGCCTTCTTACCTTAATGACATCGTCAAGTGGCTGGCTGCTGTCGTTTTCCTTTAGGACTATTTTCATTAGATCAGCGTTGAATTTCTTTGCATTCAGGAAAACAAGTGGGTTGTTTACTGAAATGATCTTTATCTGTTGCAAGGTTTCCTTTTACAGGGAAAAAAAGGAAAAGATTGCCTTTGAGTCAAGTCAGAAGAAAAGAATAAAACAACAACAAAACAACTATACCTGATCAGACTAAATCTTATGAGTCAACATATAACTAAATTTTGTATGCAACCTCATAATTAGTATTTCTATTGAAATTTATTTGTAAGTCTTAATGGAATACCACACATATCAAGGAACTATGCACTTCTTCTGTACAGAGAAACATTAGAAATAAAATATGTCCACAGCTCTTCAGAAAGTGTGTCTTATTTCTATTCACTAGGTCCTAGTGAGGTACTAGCTTTTATTCACCCTATTAATCAAAATTAATTCACTTATTGTTATTTTGCAATGCTGTGGGTCAACCCCAGAGCCTCTCATATGCTAGCAAGTGTGCTGCTACTGAGCACATCCTCAAATATCCACCAGTATTTTAATAAAACTGAAAACATGTCTCAAAAAGGGTCAACTGTCACCTCTACACCAACACTGATGTAAGCTCCCCATAGCTAAAGCATAACTTTGCAAATCCTAATTGGTAACTCCTTACCAACCAAGCAAGACAGTACTCTTTCAGGCTTAAAAGAAGGCATAAAAGAAGGCATGCAAAGAATAGCCATGCAGCAGACAAAAGAAGTAAAGAATTGGGTACATAAATATAGATAATTCGTAGATCTCATGTGCTCGTTTCTAAATAAATGTTTAAAATATACATTTCAGAGTTTTTTTTAACTCTTTATTAATTACACTTCATTCGCTTTGTATCCCTCCCTCCCCCCCCGTGGCTCCTTCCCTCCTCCCATCCCAATCCCTCCCTTCCTCCACCCTCTGCATGCATGCCCCTCCCCAAGTCCACTGATAGGGGAGATCTTCTTTTCCTTCCTTCTGATCCTAGTTAATTAGGTCTCATCAGGAGTGGCTGTGTTGTCTTCTTCTGTGGCCTGGTAATGCTGCTTCCCCCTCAGGGGGAGGTAATTAAAGAGCAGGCCAATCAGTTCATGTCAGAGACAGTCCCTGTTCCTATTACAACGGAACCCACTTGGATACTGAACTGCCATGGGCTACATCTGTGCAGGGGTCTTAGGTGATCTCCATGCATGGTCCTTGGTTGGAGTATGAGTCTCTGGAAAGACCCCTATGTTCAAATTATCTGGTTCTGTTGCTCTCCTTGTGAGTTTTTAAAACTATGAAAATATTTCACTCTAGTAAGTGAGGTGTTGCTGTGAAAAATACAAGATAGCTAAACGATTAAGCTGCTAGAGGAAACCACTTGGAAACTGAAAATAAACAATATTAAGGTTTGTCCTCTACAGTCAGATTTTATTGTTCCAGTGGCTTTAAGATGAAAAACTAAATATTTATTTAAAAAATAAAGATTCAAGTTGCTGCAACTAAGAAATTCTCAGAAGAACTGAGTGTGTTGAATGAGAAAAGATATCCCCAGCTAGAGATATCCCCAGTTAGAATGGACATTTTACATGAAGAAGAGGTAAAAAAAAAAAAGGGGGGGGGGTGAGATGATAGCACCATATTAAGTCAGATAAATTTTTCATTCAGCATTTTATATGCAAATTACCTTCAATCTTATTCACAGCTCTTATTTTTATATAACATATTAGAAATCTACTGATATGTGACATTTTAATAAAATTGAGATTTTTATGAGCAAAAATTATTTCTTGTGTGGGTGACAGAAAACAGAGAAACTTCCAGCATTTGTGTCTGGCCTACAAAACCTCCATTCACTCTATGCCCAAGAAGGCAAGGGTTATGCAGTTTTCTCACCAGTGATTTTTAGAATGAAAACTCATCAATCTAAAATCGTATTCTGTCTCACAGACAAAGACATCAGTGGAGGATGATAGGACTATGGGTTAAATTCCCACGGGAAAAATATGGAAGGAAAAGAAAGGCTGACTTGGTTGAAAACTTGAGCCTGGGACATCCTCCAAAGCTCTGAACCAAACAGCCCTCTGAAGCAAATCTCTCATTAAAAGAACAAACCATTCTCCTGGGTGTCACAGAAAGACTCCTGACGTTACTTCCTGTGTTCAGGCTACCTGGAAAGACCTCGACATTGGTCCTTTTGGAAGGAGGCCAGTTCTCTGTGCTCTGAGAGGAATCATAAGGTAATGAATCAAGTGAATATGAAAATAAAGGAGAAAATATTAACCAAACATTTATCAAGCAGGTTCAAAGTGAGGGCAACTTTTTTAAATGGACAAAAAATAATTCCAGTGAATGCATACGTTGCTATTATCTTTTGTTTTTCACACTTTTCTGGTTGTTCTTTAAAACAAGAAACTAGAACTGCCCATTCTTGCCTAGTGAGCTCAATAGCTGCTGATGGGCTACCAAAAGCAAGGATCCTTGGGTAATCTCAGTGGGCCACAAAAGAAAATAAAAAGACAAGAATGTGGGAAAGGAGCCAGGTGTGGTGGTAAACTGAACACCTTTAATCCTAGCATTGGGGAGGTAGAGGCAGTTGGGTCTATCTGAGAGGGCTAGCCTGGTCTACAAAGCAAGTTCCAGGACAGTCAGGCTGTCCTGAGAAACCCTATCTCAAAGAGAGAGAGAGAGAGAGAGAGAGAGAGAGAGAGAGAAAGAAAGAAAGAAAGAAAGAAAGAAAGAAAGAAAGAAAGAAAGA